TTCTCGAATGGTTGCCCATTCGTTTTGCACAACTTCCCATTTTTTCAAGAGACTTTCTTTCTCCTGGTCTTTGCACTTCTGCGGGAGTGACCTCGAAATCCACAGAGGATGTTCCTCCCACTACACTCGCTGTTCTTTTACTATCCTTTCCCTGAATTTTTATCTTACAGTCTACAGTTTGTTCCTCTTCAGGACCACTAGTATTTCTAAATTTCATTTCTGCGTCGGGGGGGGGGGGGCAGTGACAGCTTCTTGGTCATGTTTCTGTTCCTCGGTCTCTCTGTCCATACCTTGTGCCTTTTTTTCCCAAGTACATCAATTCTCCGCATCAGTGTTTGGTGATTGTCGATACTTCCCAGAAAAATCCGCATCACTACTCCACGGCACTTCCTTCACTTCCTGCACCTGTCGGTCGTCCTGACATTGATCGCTTCCCTTTGACTCCACGCAATGGCCCCTGCAGCCAGGCGCTGGGGACTGTAGTTGTAGCTCCCCTTTGCACCTGTGCCTGCGAGGTGGCCGGGCCTTCTTCTTTTCCCGCGATTCCTTGCTGGGGAGCCGCCGATATTATCTTTGACTGTAGCCCTGCCCTGCATGCCAGAGACCCGGCACTGTGGGGGTCTCCGCAGTTGCAGCAGCAAGGCTTAACCCTTTCCCCCTTTTCAATTTGGGCTCGGCAGATCCTGGAGTCATGCTTTCTACCGCAGAACCTGCATCGAGCATCCTGCTGACAGTTCCAAGACTTTTGGCCCCATCGACAACACTTGAGGCACATGACTGGCGCCTCCACGTATGGTGCCACCCTCCTCCACGTATGTACCCCGCTCCAGAGATGAATACTCTCTCTGGCACTTCCCCTGCCAGGAGGGCAATGTGCTGACTCTGCTCCTCGCTCCTGGACGCATGCCTCTTCACCCACACAAATCTGTCATCGCCCAACAGAAAGTCTGGGTCCACTATGGTCGGGTATCGGAAAATTATCACTTTAGTGAGTTTTTCCCCAACCTTTAGGGCAGTCATCACTGCCCCTTGTTTCCGCCTCCCTCTATTCCTTCATAAGTGGCTCGAAATCACGGTGGTCCCTGCACAGTTCCATAGCCCACTTTAATTTCTGCAGGAAACTCATGACGCAGTCCTGTGGGAATAGCAATAGTTCCCTGCCATTCATATCGACATTTTGATTTCCTGCTTCGGTTTTTCATTCTTCTTCCTCTTCTCCTCCCGCTCGCATCCATTCTCATTGTCACCAATGTCCACACTTCCTTCACTTCTTTCCCTCTTATGGGGTCCACTTGCAACATGCCCTTGTGAGTTAAAACTTCTATCCAGAGGCACCTCAGCCGCTCCCTGTCTGTGGGGGTGGGTAAACATTGGATTCAGGAAATCTCGACGGCTGAGGACAGCACTAAAACACGTCCTACTTATACGAGAGATACACCACGACTGAGAGAGAGAGAGAGAGAGAGAGAGAGAGAGAGAGAGAGAGAGAGAGAGAGAGAGAGAGAGAGAGAGAGAGAGAGAGATTAAACATGCATTAAAACGTGTAAATTAAAACTCCCAGATCATTACCAAGCCAAAAAATGAGCATAACAAGAACACCAAGTCGTACCCTCAATTAAAACTAAAATATTATTGAGGATCTAAGTGTGAATAACGTTTAGAATTAAATTTATTATAACACCAGAGTGTGCCTTGATCCATTCAACAGTACGTCTGTATTACGCATGGACCATTTTCTTGGCAGCTCACCACAAGAATTCCTTAATCAGAGATGTTGATACTTAAACTTTAAATGCCTTTCCAGATACGTAAATGGTGATGCCTCACATGAAAAGAAAAAGAAAACAACGCTAGCACACCGGAAGTTGTTGATGCAACCTTCATTATCATTGGTTCCATGATGAGCTTTTTGTAGCTGTGGTGGAAACCGGGGAGCATTTTTTTCTCGTGTACAGTAGAGTGAGTATGCTATTAGCACAATATGGTGTTTGGGTGGTACTGTACAAGCGCCGAACACGCTGGTATTATTAGACACCGTAAAAATGAATGTTTAAGATAACTTTTTGTGTTTTTTTCTGTGTGTAGGCCTATATATCCATCTTTCTCCAGTGGGTATTGCAATTTGAAGTTAAATTTCAAGATCAGTAAAGTTTAATATCCTTCCAGTACCTACACAGTGTCATGAGATACTGCTGTGATAAAAAGTTTCGACAAAAATCTGAATATATTTGGACATTTCAAAAAAAATAAATATGGGGAAAAAGTGAACAAAGGAACGATACGATATTTGAATATAAATATATATAGTTCTATGTATATATGTGTGTGTATTTTATATTTATATTCTGCCCTCCATGAATATCACAAGTAAATAAACATGCTCGACTGATTTTGTGGAACGTTCTAACAGAGTATTTAACTTGCTTTTACAATTTCGGGAAATGAGATTCACATCCGAGTATGAATTGGCGAATCATGTCATCTGCATTAAAATATGGAATAACAATTATTATTATTATTTTCTCATTAGACTTTATCGTTCAAGGTCTAGTTGTTAGGCATGTCCTTTCCTTTTCCATTGCTATTATTTCAGTTTATCTTCCGTGTAAATAGCATCGTGACTCTAAAGCTGAATGGTCAGTTGTACAGAAAAACTCCTAGATAAACGAATAAAGATTAAATAAAATAATAGAATTACTAAATATTGGTTTCTCTTTGAATATGCTCTCTAGAAATCCTGGAAATTTGATGGTTAAAGTTAAAGCAACTAATCTGAAATGAATCGATCTTCTTAATTATTTAATGCAACAGTGTCATGCAAGTTATATCATCCAAACGTATTAACACGTAAATATAACAACAGAGAAACGGGTAGCCACATATGTCGACTTTTGTAACATAAAAGCATCTGGTACTCGAGGTACAATATCCTAACCTTGGTACTCTTGGTAACCTTAGCGATCCTTCACAGATCAGTCATTTTATACATACATATATGACTTAATGTCTTGTTCATCAAAACCAGCAACATCGGATATGAGAAATCTGTCTAAATAAAAATTCAGCTTTAGAGTCCTGTGACAAAGCGGCTGTTGAAACATTCGATGGAAAGGAAACGCCGACACCGTGACTAAGATCTGCAGGGAATGTTGCACTAGCATATCCTAGATATACATAAGTTCGTACACACACTTCGTTCGCAGTATCGCCAGTTATCTTAAAGATACTTTTCCAGTATTGTCCCGCGCGCGCGTGCGTGTGCGTTTATGTGTGTGTGTGTGTGTGTGTGTGTGTGTGTGTGTGTGTGTGTGTGTGTGTGTGTGTGTGTGTGTGTGTGTGTGTGTGTGTGTGTGTGTGTGTGTTCTATTATATATATGTGTATCTATATGTTATGTATTATGTATGTATATATATATATATATATATATATATATATATATATATATATATGTATATATATATATGTATATATATATATATATATATATATATATATATATATATGTATATTAATTTTCTGCTTCTGCCCGCCCATTGAGGCGAAATCTATGAAAATTGAAGCGTATGCGAAGCAGGTTCGAGGGAGCGACCGTTACCAGAGCACACCAACTTGGACCCCAAATTACGCATATTTTTTAATATACTTCAAACTCCCGAAGTTTTAATACCATGGCAGATAGAACTTTAATGTCATTGCTGAAAAAATGGGTTTATAATCGACTGAAACTGAGTGTAAAGTGTGTGTAGGTAGCAGTACCCATGAAAAAAAATCCCTATTCGTATTTTCTGTAATGGTTAATGGAAAGCTGATGCACAAGGAAATAGATATATATGTATTCATATATTCACTACTGTAGGTTTATTGTATATATTTTGGTAAATGTTTTGCAAGTTTCTGACATTTTGATAGTATTACAGTTATCTGACAAACAGGTCTATTCACAGGGCGAGGATGAAGACCCAACCAAGCAAGCGCGTGGCTTTCTCGCCACTGCCAGCCGAGGACAAGGACGCTGCCGATCAAACAGCCGCGGAGAAGGACGCCGACGGCCTTGTATCGGAAAGACCTGCGAGCGTTTGCAAATTCACGTGGTGGAATGAGGTAAGGTGCAAGGCAGCAGGGCATAGGATAGCCTTACAGGTTTCTATGGATGGGGCTTTTCTCATTTTCTGTGAATGTGACATGTCTCATTTTTTGTGGATGCGATATGTCCCATTATCTGTGAATGCGACATATCCCATTTTCTGTGGATGCGGCATGTCCAATTTTCTGAGGACGTGGCATGTCCCATTGTCTGTGGATGTGGCATATCCCCGGTTTTCGAGGATTCGATATAGCTCATTATTTCCCATTTTCTGTCGAAGTTCCGAATCCCATTTTCTGTGTATGCAATGATGGGGGGTGGAAGCAAGCGATTTTCTGGGAATTTGATGATGTTGGCAAGTTTTTGTGTGGGAGTGAAATGCGTGTTAGTAACTGACTTTGTAATTGGAGAATGTCGTGTGGTTAATTTGATAATGTATCTCTTGGAAGGGGGGTGTAATACATTGTCACGACATTTCCATGACGATGTTTTAATGAACAAAACACCCGATCATGCATTTTGTACATTCGTATATAGATATACCGGATATGCATGTGTGCACACATTTATGTATATATGGGTATGTCCATAATTGTATACATGTACACTCACACCTACTAAGTCATTCATTATCTCGCAAGCACACGCACACGCATACGCATATATATATATATATATATATATATATATATATATATATATATATATATATATATATATATATATATATATATGCATGTGTGTATTAATGAATGAATTAATTAATTGAATTATTTATACACTCTTACATATACATATACACATACACATGCATAAAATGTATACACACACAAACATTGCGTATTCGTGTTTATATATACAACGTACTTAAATGTTTTTCCCAGTATGAAGTAATAAAAGCTCTTCTGAATATCTAAGAACAATATTAGTGTTTCGTAAATTTTACCTAAAAATCCGCAAGCATAAAGCTGCAGCAAATCTTTATGACGCCTCATTTTACGGACATAAAGCCGTTGACTCACCTCGCCCCATCTCCACCTGTATCGATGTAACAGCAATTGCATGGCCATCGCTGTTTGTGCAACCACTATCCCCACATCCTTTCTTCATATTCATAACCTGTTTCGAAATCCCATTCACGTCAGTGTGGGACAGAATTCTCTCCCGACTGTCTTACGAGCTGTATTACTCTTTTTTTATCCTGTCAAGACCTATGTTTCAGATCATTACGCAGCCTTTCCTTGCCAGATCCGGATAACCCAGCCCCCTCGTAGCTAAGCCGCACACCTAACACGCAAGCAAACGCCCTTCCTCCTCGGGCGGCCACACGCCACGCTCTACCGCCTGCATTTCCGTTGTTTCCGCCCTAAAATAACATAACGGTGAGGCAGACCGCGAACTGTCGGAGCTGTCTCCCCGGCCGCATTGCGTCATCGCTTCTCGGGCACGTCGCTTATTGAATGGCGTGTTGTTTCGAGGAGCGTTGGTGTATTTTTGGGAAGGTCTGCGTTGTTCTGGGGTTTGGGAGTTGGCCGACAGCGGTTCGAGCTAACTGGACCTAATTAGAATCAAGTGTAAATAAATGTAATGCTAACAATGTGATGAATGCGGGCACTGGATACGCGATCGCTCGTCGCATGTATAACTTTACAAAGTGAATGCACGATGCGACAGATGACATCGATGATGCTGAAAACTGATAATTTCATTCTTGATTATTAAATCAATTATTTATTTCACTTGTCCCTCAAAATGCAGCTGCTGGCTACTCTGCATGTTTGACCACCAAACAGTGAGGTGGAGCAGCCTCAAGGTTAGGTGTTAAAATTAACCCGTTGTGCCGGGTGGCAGGGGGCGGGGTGGGTTCTCCTCCCCCTCCCGCCCCCTTGTGAGTCCTGCAGTCAGTCAGCAAGACGGGCCCAAACACGGAGGGTCCCTTGCTCTCAATCTCCCGCGCCAGTAGGAAGAGCCATCCCACGTGGAACGCAGACACGCCGCCCTGCCCTCGACCCCTACAAGACAACGCCCCCTGCTTGGATCGCCGAACACGGCACACGCTACTGTGTGCGGCTGAGTCTAGCGCTGAGTCACTGTTGGCGAAGGCGCACGCAACACCTGCTGTTTTTCAGCTGGTGTGGAGGACTGTGTCGTGAGCGGCGGACACGCACAACTTTCACTGAAGTGCGAGCTGCGAGTGTTCTAGAGTCGCGCCGTGGAAGGCAGGTAACTGATAATGGTACAACACCCTGTTTCAAGAATGCCATTCGGAGCGGCGCGCGTACAAAGTGGCATGTTGACCTTACGAAGAACGTTGATACAAGACGAGTTTTTTAAAGCACCGGCGTTTTTACTCATCTGTAACTCGTGCAGTGAGGGAGAGTGTGTGCAGTGGCGATATGATGTATATAAATGATGAAATGAAGAATTCGTGACTCGCTATCGAAAATCTAAATGGTCGAGATTAACCTTATCTAATCAGATATGTATGTAGAGGAACTACTATACACCTGTAGGAATGTGCACAAATACCAAGTGTTATAATGAACAAGTAATTTTCAGTGTTGACAAAAATGAACAAAAACAAAACAAAATAAAACAAGGCAATCCGTTATATTAGTGGAAAATTTCCACTGATATAACGCCTTAAATATCCACTAATATAACGCCTCTGAACAGGGATTTCCACTGGAAATCCCTGTTCAGAGGCGTGAAGGACTCGCCAGTGTAATTTTTTTTTCCTAGTGACTTTACATCCTCAGTGAGGAATGTATGTGGCGGTGTTGGGTCCTCTCTAGATCCCTGCTGGTATGAGGATGCTTATTCCAAAACAGTTTGAAAGTGCTCACCACAACAATGGAAAATAACTCTGTGTCTTCACTGTCGTACCTTGTCAACGTGAGGCAGGGGCGACCCAAGTTCACCATCCGAAATGAGGTAAGTACGACTCGTTGGGCCCAGACCCTATGAGGAAAATGTGAGAGTGAGTCATACTTGGAACTATATGGCAAATCAAGAACGTCGCTCGCCTCCAGAGAGTAAATTACCTTACGATGCAAATTAATATATATATAAAAAAAATAAACAAAAACAACAATAACCGAAACGATGATAATATTAATCACGAGACTATAGATTATAAATTTGTGGAGAAACTACTCAATATTCTCCAGGAGAGAGTGAGGCAGCGGTAGAAGGTTCGAAAGTTGCGGCAGGTGTCGCCCCGAGCCGTAGGATGAGGTGGTCGAACCGATACGAATTCGTAACTTGTCTAAATTCGTTGACTTTCACACTGTTGAATTCAGAGCCAGTTTTCTTGGACATTAAGAGTGAGATTTAGTAGTTGTAGATCATAAGCGAAGATGATAAGGTCTGTGTTAGAGAGAAAGTAACGGTTTTTGTTAAATCGGAAGGGGAG